CTGTTTGGCCGCTACACAACCCTGCACAGACGACCGTCAAAATCACTGACTTTCGTGCCGATATATAGAACTCTAGTAAAAAACTGTAAAACCTCCATCAAAAATGGAGGGGAGGTAAGTCCTTGTAAATATCTGAAAGCCAATGCTACAACAAACAATTTGCAAATTAACGCACTTACGAATTTTCGGAGTATACAGTGGTTGAACATGTCAGTAGCTGTTTAAAAATGATTTATCGATTGGCATTAGCGCATAGTGCCCAACACTGACCAACTTTCCTAGACTCCGACTTCAAAGCATGCCACTGAAGAAAGTGCTAGACCTGTTGAAGGACCCGGAACACCTATTCAACTTGAATTTTCGCTCCGAATTCGAACGGGCGGCTTGCAAGCGACTGCTACACAACCCCCACTGGCTAACCTGTGGGATGAAGGCTGTCATCGGTGCTGCCCGAGAGTGCATGGACGTTGCGGGAGGACACATATCAGAAAGTCTTTCAGCGAAACTTTTCCGGGAAGCCAAGGTACATCATGTTTTCTGCTTGATGGGGGTCGATACGACTGAGTTTCTTGGTCTTCATTGCGGCACCTTCTACAATGTGGGGTCTGGCCGCCGGCAGATGACTACGGACTTCTACCTCCGAATATTCCTACCAACTTTTAGTAGAAAACTGGAGGCTCTTGTGGGAAGCAATGAGCCTTTCTATAACCTACTGATCGCACCCGTGGTGTTGATGGTATTCCGCAAGGACACAGGCTTCGGCAGCGTTCGGGAACGCATCATTGTGGACCACGTAATGGCTCACAAGAACCTCTTTCGGCAAGATCTTAGGCAGGCCCCTATGGGTGAACTGAGGCCCCTTAAAGCAACAGAGAAGAAATGAATTACAGGGGAATAAACCGGTGCTCAAGGTTCACGGAGACTTTCTTAAAAAGGTAAAAGAGTCACTTGAATGTGCGTAGGCCTTAATCTTGCGACACTTCTAAAAAGCTGATTTTATCACAGAGGTTGTAAGGAGGATAATTCTGTGAAAGATTAGGCTGACGTGGAGAAAGGAGCAGCTATAGCTTGACTGGCTTCTATTGGAATGTTAGGCTTAGCGATTTGCCGCATATTTTCAGTTTGCACCACTTCTTGTCTGATTGAGGGGGGAGGCGTCCATAGATTTCCAGTCTTCTGAATTACGCAACTAGAATTGTTCAAGCATTTCCTGTAGCGCTTTTTCTCGGGCCAACAATCTGAAATTTTTTGGAGCTGACTTGCCATCATATAATAATTGCCAGGTGAAGAAGTGGATCTGACAAAGCAAGGTCGTTTTTTAACTTCCTAGTTGAGGAGGTTCGACTTTGGCTTTTTATTCAGTGAGCATGGAACTTGAACTATTCTATGCAAATAATAGCGTATGTCCTCCGTAGATTAATGGCCAATATACGACGGATAGAATGCGATGTCCCCTGTTATTGCCTCCTCCTCTTCTGTCTCCTCCTCCTCCTCCACTGAACAACCATACTCCAGGGCAAGGACTTCCAGATAAATCTGGAGAACTATGGTTGATCGCAGTCGACAGGGCTTTTGCCAGAACTGGTGCATGGCTATTGTTACCTGACTGTGGTTAAACTCCGTTAACCTCGTCATTTGAATAGCGGCCACAAGTAACTAACGATAAGAAAAAACATCGAAGTTCATGTATTGGCGGGCTGATTTTTCAGCAGACTTTTATAGAACGGTGACCATTCCTGCTTTTATCGATATAGCGTAACCAGGAAATCCGCCCAGAGTGAGACATATTCCCAGTGCACCAGCAGAAATGTTCAACTTTAAGATTTTAGTTTAAATGAACCCTGAAGAACTGCAAAGCAGCATTACAGCGGAGCAACTTCGGCGGATACTGCATGGGCCAAACTACTACCGATCGTCGAGTCTTATGATTACACACCTGTAGGAAGTATGTGAGGACATACTTAAGTAACTCACCAGAAGGAAACTCCTAGGTTTCCCGCTCTTGCTGTTGGATGGAATTCCCGTCGCTTAAAAATTTAAAGTGCAGTTAAGGAGTGAGTACGAGCTGCTGTCGCTTCTCAACTTTGCTAATACCCCGTTGCAAATTGTAAAAACCTTTGCTACCACAGCAGCGCCGTCTTGCCGCTTCATACCCTATTAACATGTATAACTATTAGAGTTAGAAAATTTAAAATGATTCATAAGCTGTTAACCTGTCCACGAAAGGCAGCGCATCCAAGGACGAAGTCCAACTACCTCTGCTGTAAGGGTCAACGTTAGGTGTCGAAGAAAAATTCGTAAAACAATTGTTACTTATTATTTGCTTAGCCGAAATAGCAACGATCATTATCATAAGCAACTTTGTTAATCTACAAAACTTGTTTATGCTTCGGATATTTGTTTCATCCGATATAATATCGATTATCTGGTAGGAGAAAACATTGAGTTTGGTACATAAAAGCACTCTATATCGTCGTAACGACCGAAAGCACCAACAGAGAATGGCCTTCTGGAACGCTACACTTCGAAACTCTTCTTACACCTAAACTGCACCTAAACGTTACTCGATGTCAGGTCCGGCCACAGTTAGTGGCCCATCTGCGTTACTTCCCGTATCCAACCTCTCATATGTGTGTACGCACCTCGCACTGGACACGGTCATCCTTCTCACCCAACACAGGTACAAAGCCCTGTGTAATCGGTGTCACCTAACCGGGACGAAAAACCGCGTTTTGTGCTGACTTATACGCTAGCCCCAACAACATCAGTATTCTGTTGGAAACAAACTTCTATAAAAACATATACGATAGATGTGCTATCTCGTTAAATGTCAACCAAAATTCGCAAATGTGCTTCCATTTCGAAGAGAGTATTTAAATAGGATTGTAATATTCATCATCCTGCAGCACTATCCCAAAGTATTTCAGTTACGCGCACGGTGGACCGAGTTTTAGCGAAAACAAGAAATGGGCGGCGTGATCCCAACTGAGGGGATTTATCACGGTGGGCATATAAGAAGTAGCCATCGCAGTCTGACTCGCCGTCCTTGGAGGAGGACTGGGTTCTCCCGCCAGTTGGCAGCCTTACAAAGCAGAGATTTTAGCGCACCAGGACGTTTTCAAATAAATTAGTTTGTTTGTAGCGAGAAGATGCACTAAGTGCCATGAAAACGGTTCTACTGGAATCAAGCAACCTTATTTATCCCCTCTGCCAGGTACCAGTTCACTCTCCCGGCGGTCAGCTATTACTGCGGAAATTGGGCGTAGGTGGTTGGCACGCCGTGAGCCTGTGTCTAGGTGGACTTCCACGAAATTTATGGATGCGTATCCAGATAACATGTGTGGCACACTGATCTGGCCCTAGTATTGGTTCAACCCAACTTGCGAGTGGTCCGTAGTAGGGACAGATAAACCTACAATGATAACTTAATGATGTTGCTGGTAACGCTTTTTAAATCGAAAAAGATCGCGCACAATTGCCCACACGAGGAGCCTATCGTTACGTTATCCGTCACGGGGCTTTGCAGAATGACGTATGCATTTTGTGACCTAGGCAATTTAAACTGACGTCATAGAATGAGTAGGATGTCTGTTAGAAGCTGTTACGCAGGTTACCTGTGACGTTGTTCATACCGGGGTGGTGCAGTCTTCAGCTCGTGTCTTCCATATGATGCAGAATATGGGACTGCTGATGTAAACACTGAATATAAGCAGACGCGGTGGTGAGCATGGAAGGACCTTTACTAATTAGTTTTGGATAAGAAAAGAAAATGAGTACCTCTCCCTGTAATAAAAAGTATGTAGGCTATATCGTTAAATGTTAACTAAAATCCAGTAACCTGTTTCTATTCGAAAAGATTACGTAAGTTGGATTGCAGCATTACTTACCGTGCCGCATAATCCCAAAGTTTGTTAAGTACATCATTATGTCGGCTTTTAAACGAGCTTCTTTCCGACCGCCTAGAAAAACTACATTGTGTAGAAGAACTGTTATTTAAATTGTGTGACCTTTTCGTTGACTTTTTGTTGCCCCTATAAATTCAAATATTTTTTACAGAGACAATGCACAAAAAGATTCCTTTGACTGCCCAGTTGCTCCCAAATTATACTTTCTTCTAAGTTTATACTTGTAAAAAGCGTGTCGTTAGGTTTCAAATTTTGTTCAATTTCCAAATAATTTTGAGGTCAATCTGTCATTATACTTACTTTTGGGGTTTCCAAGTTACCTGCTGTATACATTCTGGCTGAGGATAAACACACATTTTTCTGCGTTATTAGGAAAGAGTCACATCGTAGTCATGAAATTTTGTAATTTATATGAACTACGCTGTATACTTCAATGGCAATATTAATAAATAGACAGGGCTGTCACTTTTGCAATGAAAATTGCATTGTTTAAAAAAACTCATAATTAGAAAGTTTTTAAAACCGACAATTCTAAGAGGACTTGTTTTTCTACCAAACAAGTAAAATAAATAAATTTTAACACAGGTTTTCTGTAAAATACATTTGAATTTATAAGATCACCGTAGATGCTATGAACGAGCCCTGCCTCTACTTAAATAGAAGTGCTCAGGACGTTCTTAACAATTTTATTTCTACGAGCCCCACCCAACTAAAATAAATAACTATATTTATGGGTGCAATTCATTGTAAGTTGCGGTTTCCTTAATAACAGTTTTCGTGAAATTGCATTTAACCCGAAAGCTGAACTGGTTGCGGTCCTTATTAAATCACTTATTCTTCTACTAGTTGAACAACGTGAATAAGCAGCACGCGCCAAACCCAATTCGGATCTTCTGGTTGACTCGGAGGACAGCTCCAAACTTTTTATGCTTCCGAGACCATTGATGATCCAACAAAATTTTTGTAAATGTAAAACTTGGTAATTTTCCCACTCTCACTCTCGTTCAATTTCTTTCTTTCATGCAGTTTGTTGTCTTTCAGCTCATATGAATCTACGAGATATGATTTATTCTGAAAAAACCTTTGATAACGATATGATTTTTCAGTACCACTGGTCTTGTGAACGGCAGTTGAGAAAGCAGCAAGTTATCTGGTTGTTTCACAGCTCCTACCAAGTTCCAAGGGCCGTTTTGCACATAGTCTTTGAGCAAGTGGCAGCAATGGATAGCAAAGTCGCGAGGTAATAATAGCAACTTGCATTGGGCCACAGTTAACTGCCACGACAGCTGGTCCCCGGTGCACTTTGACAGCGTAATTAAATTGCGAGGAGAGGCCCGCTATCGATCAGTTACGTGCGTTTTTGTACAATCCAAAAAACAATTTCATTAAGCTTAACCGAGTTTTACTTCAACAAAAGTCAAATAAAGGGGGCCTCGTAGCTTAGTTGGCTAGAGCGTCGGCTATACTAAAGCCTTCGCCTCGCTGGTGTGGATTCGAATCCACCGATGCCATCAAGTTTTTCAAAAGTGGGTGAGATGGAAAGCAGAGTTTTTTAAATGCACAGCAGGGGAAATGATTTAAAGTTTTGTTTGATAATAACAGCTATAGCAAAATATTCAATAAATTAGCCCCGATTATACCATCGAAAACGTGAAAACAGCATCAACAGATACATAAACTCCCAAAAATATGAGTAGGTATAATGGCCACGAAAGTGTGCTCGACGACCAGGACAGGTGGGTCGGATATCGATTGCACTAGAATAGTTGCGTTAAGGGAGAGTGGGACAGGGAAAGGGAGAAGGAGGTGGGTTGGAGGTCGACACAGGTTTGCCCTTGAGACTGGTTTAGGACTTCTGTGGAACAATTGCTTTGACCCACTCAACGTCTAAATTGTCCTCCTTGTCACTGCAAAAGATCCGACAGATCTTGGTACTACAGTAGACCATCCCGAAAATTCCGTCCTAGGGCGATTTCGTGGGTTTGTGCACATGCACATGACGAGTAAAGACGTATATGTGGTCTGCCAAGTCTTTATCTGCATTAGGCCTAGTCCATAGAGGTTGCAGTGCGATCGGTGACAGCGTGAGTGGGAATCCTGAAGGTGATACACATAAGTGAGAGGATTCTAGTCGTCACCGCGAGATTTTTGGGTGAGCAGCTAATATGACAGTCACAGGGTGACGCCGAATACCAACAAGGCTGTGTTGCAATAAAAGTCCAAGTCGGTGTCGCCCAACTACATGAAATGCCAGACGCACGTGGTCTATCCAGTTCGTTGGATCCTTTGCAATACACGGGATGATCTTGAATTGACAGAAGAAGTACTTCACCATACGGTTGCCGGCTAAGTTGTACATATTTGTCCGAACAAGTCAGTCAGTCAGTCAGTCAATATGAGTCAGCATGTTTGGAAAAAGTGATAGAAGCCCCTAAAATCTCCATCATAACGGTACAGGAATGTATAAAATTGCCAATAGAGGAGAATATTCGAGTTCCACGAAGCAGTTCAGAAGAAGAAGAACAAGAA